CAGAGAATGACCATCTGGGAGTACCTGCCCTCAACCCACAATCAGCAACCCTTCGAGGCGTACCATGGGGAATTTTGCGGCCCACCCATCACCCACTTGGTAGCCACTGTCGAAGATTTAACCGGCATGCTAGATTATAATTCGGAAAACGCTGAATACATGGACGAGGATAGCGGAGCCACGGCTAGCACCGATGTTGCCCCCCCCCCTCCGTCATCGGCCGTTGGTCGGCCACGTCCACCTGTGACATCTACATGGTGGACACCCCCAAGGACGGCAACGACACTGCCAATCAGGATAATAACAAGCCTGGAGATGAGCCACCCAAAAGTCCCAGACAGCGCCACCGATAAAGGCGCGTTGAAGCCATGCGAGCAACGCGAACTCCACGGAAAATGACACCATGAATAATACAGATGACCTCGCGGGAGCTGCAGCCAACGAACATCAGCAGGATGACGCCGCGGGGCAGGAGGACCCGCTCAACCTAGAAGACCTCAAGGACTCCGAAGACAGCAACTACCTCCCACCCTCCGATGAGGAGGCCAGTCTCGGGGATGAAGATTGCATCGTCCCTGAAGACCCGCTAGAGCAGGAACGTTTCAGGCGGAGGCTTATAACCACCGCCCGCAGCCTGAAGAAACAAAAACGCATAATCAAGGCTGAACAGGAAACCCTCAACGACCGATCGACTAAAGTCCTAGTCGTCGAAGAAGGGTACGGCCGTGAATGGCCAATCAAAAGTTATCACATGCGACGATTATTGCCACAATTCGACAATGAGGCCGTAGAGCCAAACGTGTCCAACACACACCCGCGCCGAACAGCCGGACCGCCCCCTTAGGGGGCGGGACAGAGAAGCTGACGAGGCCGAGCACCCTGCCGCTCCACGCCGCCGTAATGGCAAGGATAAAGCGCGACCTTCCTACAAATATGACCTCCATCATGACCTAGACGCTCGAGGAGGCCATACCAGGTCCACCTACGGACCTAGAGAAGACCCGCCCGCTCACCGGGACGACTGACTGAACCAAAAACGATAGAGTTCGGGAGCGGCAGCGGAGCCGGATGGCCGAAGACCTCCGACGCGATATAGTCCGAGTTCGAGGCGCCGCACACCCGCTGTGCTTCACAGAGAGGGTAATGCAACACCAGTTCCCGAAAGGTTTCAAGCCCGTGATGTCCCGCCCAGGCGCAGGGCAAGGTCCACCGGATTCTGCTCGACCTCTTTATGATGTCCTCCGACGCACAAAAACATACGGCCCGGTTTATTCTCAGGGCCCACTGCACCAGATCGTTATTAACCTGGTTTTATTTACACCGACAATTTCTCTTATAAAATTACATATAGATGACATATGCATGTCTATTCTATCACCGTAATAATTCAACTGATGATATTAGATTTAAAACATTTAATTCAAATTAAAACATAATAAATGGTTTAAATCATTGAAAGTAAACATAACATATGGTCCAAATCATGCGAAGTAAACATAACATGAAGAATTTTATTGCCCATGGAGCGCTCACAAATGCTCAACAAGGTCATCGCGAAGTTGTTCATTCCCTCCACGGTTTTCAATCTCTCGATGTGTAGAAATAATAAGTAAAATTTTGATAATATGATTTTAAGATAAGATTGATTAAGCTTCAAACAATAATTGCACATTTTAAAGACGTTGCCCACACGAGGCCACTGTGCTACTCTTGTACCAAAAATAGCGGAAGGAGGATAAGAGACTCCAGCTAATTTACAAGCTGCTGATAAAATATTCAGCACAAATCGTTCTCCATATATACTAGTCTTTCTAAGTTGATCGATCACTGGGTTGTGTGCGTTATCTTGATGCAGAGGACAGGAGATGCATAAAGTCCTTATTTACGCAAAATGATCGACCGCGGGCAGCGCCAAGCATCAATCAACCATGACATGGTGGTTGTCCCATCTCAGTAGCTTCTCTTTTGCTGAGTTTAGCTCTTTGACAACATCATGCATATCGGTGCGCTCTCTTGGCAACTCCCTGGAGCACCCGAGTCCACATCGTATCACCGTGAGCAGGCACTGATAGATATTGTCGCGGTCATGGGTATGGTTTCCTTTCTTATTTTGACCGTTAGTAAAGAACAGTTTGTGATCAACTATTTCCATGACTGTCTCAGGAAAAGACATCTCAACCAGTTTCTGAAGGCTCATCCCATCTACAAACTTTTCATCAGTTGGACTTACTCCAGTGAATATCTCGAGCAGAAGAACCCCATAGCTATATGCATCGCCCTGCACAGATGCTTGAGCTCCCATGCCATATTCTGAAAATAAATAATAGGGAATTAATGCCTTTCTTACACATGGTGCATTTTCTATCAACAGCTGAATTAATGCTAAAATGGGCATAGGTTTTTTTTTCTGGAGGCGGTGCTACTGCTGCTTTCAGTAGTGTGTGAATGCGAAAGTAAACTTATATTTGTTCCATTCTTATTTGCAACAGAAAACAAGCTATTAATTTGTTAGATATGATTAAGTGCATAAATAGGCACATGGACTTTTCTAAAACTAATTATCCATGTAACTGTTCTTAAGAAAATCATGAAAAGGTAAACGTTACTGATAGATATGCTAAAACATAGTATATCTGTCCGCACAAATATATACAAACATCCACATATATGCATATATATATACCTGGGGGAATGTAGCCAATAGTACCCTTGATCCCGGTGCTTGTTGCCGAATGAGATATCATGGTATCTTGTTGAACCAAAAACTTTGCTAATCCAAAATCACCCACATGTGCAACCATTTCACCGTCCAAAAGAACATTGCTAGGCTTCAAATCGCAGTGCACAATTGGCACTGCACCGTGGTGGTGGAGGTAGTCTAATGCTGTGGCAACATCAATTGCTATGTCCATCCTCTGGGTAAGGCCTAGAGCTTCAAATGGTCGAGCAGTGCATGCTGTAGGATGTAGCCAAGTCTCCAGACTCCCATTCGGCATGAACTCAAAAACCAGTGCCTTGAAATCAATACCGTTGTGATCCGTACTGGAACATGAGCTCAAAACCTTAATAAGGTTTCGGTGCCGTATATTTCTCAGTGCCTCACATTCAGTCACAAATGTCTTAGAACCAGCTTGCTTTTGAAGGTCAAGGATCTTTACAGCAACAACTGTTGGAGTTTCAAAGCTCATGGTGGCTTTGTATACTGTTCCAAATGCGCCTCTTCCGACTAGATTAGCCTGAGAGAAACCATCTGTAGCCTTGAAAATGTCATTGTAGGACACCCGCTTGAGTTCAAATTTCAAGGCATGACTGGATTTTGCATTGCTATGTGATCTCTTGGAATATCGACATGCAAAGAAACATATGGCCATGCACAAGCTTGCAAATGCACCAATTATGGAAAATGCAATTGCAATGGTTCTCCAGTAACCTTTTTTGTGTGTTTGGACATGTATGCCACATCTTTGTAGCTTCATTTGTGATATTCCACCACAAAGATCAGGATTTCCTCTTACATCAATTGCAGTAATGTTAAGGAATACTCCTCCTTTGGGTAGTTCTCCCTCAAAATTGTTGAAAGAAATATTCAAGAATTGGAGCTTCATCTGATCTATAGAGTGTGGTAATTCACCAGAAAAAGAATTGTGGGACAGATCAAGAACTTGCAAAGATCTCATGTTACCAAAAGAGGATGGCAAGGACCCATCAAACATGTTCCTATCAAGATAAAGTGCTTGCAGTACTTCACAACCATCGATGGTGCTCGGAATTTCACCAGATAAGTTGTTATTTGAAAGGATTATACTCTGTATGTTCTTCAGCTTACTGATTTCCAGTGGCAATGGACCGCTGAGATGATTATGCGACAAATCTATGGCCATAGAAAGGGAGTAAGACATTATTTCTTTTGGAATAGTACCCACTAACTTGTTATCTGAAAGGTTCACGGATTGTAGCGATTGCATACGACTCATCTGCTCTGGTATATTCCCTTTAAGATCATTGCTTTGGAGAAAGAATCCACTGATCCGGGTAAGATTTCTAAACATCGACGGGATTTCCCCAGATATGGAGTTAAGGGACAGATCTATTATCTCAAGTCTCAAGAGGTTGCCAATTTCCTGGGGTATGGGGCCACTAAGTAGCATGTTGTCTAGCAGAATTCTAGTCAGACCTACTAGGTTACCGATTACAGCAGGGATGCTTTCTGAAATTCCACTATATCTCATACTAAAAAAGTAAAGACTAGTGGAAAGGTTTCCTATAGAGTTAGGTATCATTCCTTGGAGTTGGTTCTGGGCGAGGTCTAACACTTGCAACTCTGTGCAATTGCTTAACTGGTCAAGAAATCCCCAGTCTCTAGTTGTCTTGGCCTCAAGTAGATTGTTAGAAAATGCTAATATCTCAAGGTTTTGCAAGCTTCCTATGCTAGCAGGAATGGGACCTGTGAATTTGTTACTAGCAATTTCAATAGAAGATAAGTAGGAACAGTTGGATATTGACTCAGGGATTTGCCCTTGAAGGTAATTTCCAAATATAACCAGACTCACCAGGTTAGGAAACGAAACACCAATATCAGAAGGAAGACTACCTTGGAGACTGTTGTAAGCTAGCTGAAAGATATCCATGGATGAAATATTGTACAAGGAAGGCGGTATCTCGCCAGAAAGATCGTTCTCGTTAACGCAAATGGTTTGAAGTACATGGAGCTGGCCAAGAGAAGATGGGATGGAACCAGTCAGATTGTTCACATCCAAACGAAGTAATAGCAAACTGGTTAGATTGCCAAGGTCTGGTGGGATGTTTCCTACGAGGTTATTAGAGGTTAACACCAGGTTAACTAGGTCCGTACATAGTCCAAGACTAGAAGGGATCATGCCTTGAAGGTTATTCTTTCTGAGGTTAATAGTGAGTAATCTTGTGCAGTTTCCAAGAGTTGGTGGCATATGGCCACCGAGGGTGTTGTGAGACAGATCAATGGAGCTTAGTCTAACCAGCTTCCCGAGCTCTTCCGGGATAATTCCGGTGAACTGGTTATCACTGAGGCTCAGCTCATAGAGAAAGGTGAGGTTGGACAAAGCTGGAGATATCTGACCTGAAAGACGGCTAGAGTTTAGAATGAGAGAAGTAACACGGTCAGGATGACGGCGGCCGCACTTGATGCCCGGCCACAGGCAGTGGTGGACAGAGCCATTCCACGAGGATAGTATCTTCAGTGGATCACCTGATACAAGAGACTTGAAGGATACAAGCGCTAATAGATCGGTTTCGTTGGATGCGGATGTTGCTGGGACAGGAAGGAGGATTGAGCACAGAATGTGAAGGTATATTACGAGGAAGATGTAACGGGAGGCTTCCATTGTTTGAAGGAGGATGCGAGTAGTGTGGTTGCTGTGTACTCTCCGCCTTCTTATCTTATACACACAGCGTGAAGGAAAACAAGAGATGGTTTCAGTTATTATTTAATTTATGATAAAAATGATCCTAGAAGAGATGGTCATGGTTTCAGTCTGAACAAACCACCTCGATAAGTTAAACTTTCTTCCACTCCCGAGACTAGAATAGGCATGGAGTCCCAATCATACTGACTAGGCTCAGTTATTTGGGCGTCGACTCCAAAAGACTTAGGACGTCAAAGTCTTGGACTGAGAATGACTAGGTATGAAAAATATCTGCACCGAGAACGACTAGAAATTTTGGCCCCCAGTGCAAAATGCAAAGTGGGACACTAGAAAAATAAGGGCAACCGAAGATATTTCACTCGAGTACTATGTATGACCTTAATATATGTTATTTGATAATACTGTGAGGAAGATGTATAACGGGAGGCTTCCATTGTTTGAAGAATGTGAGTACTGTCACTAGTCACAAGGTGTACTCTCTGCTGCCTTCTTATCTTATACACACGGCGTGAAGGAAAACAAGAGATGGTTTCAGTTATTATTCAATTTATGATGAACATTATCCTAGAAGAGATGGTCATGGTTTCAGTCTGAACAAACAACCTTGACAAGTTAAACTTTCTTCCACTCCCGAGACTAGAATAGCTGAATAGGCATGACGTCCCAATCATACTGACTAGGCTCAGTTATTTGGGCGTCGACTCCAATAGACTTAGAACGCCAAAATCTTGCACTGAGAACTACTTGGTATGAAAAATATTTGCACCGAGAACGACGTAGAAACTTCAGCCCCTGGTGCAAAATGCAAAGTGAGACACTAGAAAAATAAGGGCAACCGAAAGCGAAAATCCTCTTCTGAGCTCGGGCTCAGCTGATCCCGAAATCCAGACCAATGGTTCACATGTGGATGTGTGCGTCGCAGTGTATTTCTATTCCGTATATGCCTTTTTGCGACTGTTGTTGAGATGCATTCAATGCGACGATGCGTCTCGCTGCCGTTGAGGGACAGAAGGACTAGAGATGGCTCAGCAATAGTTCTGAGCGTTCATGAGCCTTGTGAGGCGTCTGTCCAGACGGTGGCCAGAGCACTGGCCATAAATGCCAACCCACACACCCATTCCCCATCCAAAAAAAAAAAAAATCCCCTCTTCGTGTTGATCCATTTCCAGCTCCATCTCCGGCAGTTGCGTTGTACTCCACGCGCTTGATGCTGAATCCATGCTCGTGTATGACAATGTCTGCGAGGAGCAGATTCCATCAGCAAACGACGCAACACCTCATCTCCTCTAGAGAATCACTATAGATGGATTGGTCAAGAAGGGGGGAATCCATGATCACTTGATCTTTCGAGAGGCCAAAAGTGTCACGCCCACCGGACGTTCAGGTTGAGCCACTCGCCGCCGATTGAACAAACGAGCGCCCTGTCTGATGTAGCCGCTAGCTTTCAATTATGTTTGAACTATTGGCAATTGCTGAACTGAGGCAATCCCTGTTTTATACTGCATCCGGGGCTACCCCAGGACCCCGCACGCATTTAATCTGCCCATCAGTTTTCTGAATATTGAAAATGAGAGTGCCCGCTGAAGACCTACTCCGTCGTGATCATGCATGGTGCCCATGTGTCAACCCAGCACATCTTCAGTTCAGGAAGCAAAGCACACACCATTTCGGACGAAAGACAAATAATCGGCTAGACTGGGCATATGTCCCATTTTTCTTGGTGTTTGCAGAATTTTTTTCCTAGGGAGGAACACAATTTGTCTGCAAGTAAATTAGTTCATCAGAATTCAAACAAAAACCATACATGGTTCATCGCAATTCAGACATACACACACAGAGTTCATGCTCTTAGATACAGCAGGACACACGACCATCTAGACTGAAGGAATATAGAGTGGAGGAGTGTCCATTTCAAACACGCTGGAAAATCCCCTGGTTAAGAACATTTAGCCCGAACTGAAATTTTTATAGCTCAGTTCCCAGTAAAACCAATTGGGATTTTGCAGGTATTCCGCCGATGCCCTTCTATTCCGCAGTTCTTGCATTTCCCTGGCTTCCGTGACTTCTTTGGTGCATCCCCTCTATCCGGTCATGTGGTCCTTTTGTGATCTTCTCGTTGACAAATGCTGCAGAATCTAGTTGGTTTACTTAACCCTTTGTATGGGGCTCTGTCTCTGCTGTTTGTCGGCCTTCCAGTGCCTCTATGCTTATCCGGGGCTGAAAGACCATGCAGCCCATTCACACTAGCAGAATGCCCAGCACCGTGGCATCGTCCATCTCCTCCTTCCACATTTGCAATGTCCAAGGTGCCATGTAGCCTTGCACCCATTGTTTCAACCAATTGGTCCTCAAATGCCAAACCATCCCTTTTCTCCGCCAATGGGGCTCCACTCAGCAGCAGAGCGCCGAGACCTGCATTCACATGGTCATAACATGCAGCACTTGCATCCCCCATCTACACGACTTCCATGGCCTTCAGGTACAACATTGCATGCCTACACGTGAACGATAGGTTTACTGAATTATCTCACTAGTACCGGACCAAGTGATCTGGCAGTATATCCCTTGCGTCTCTCGTCCACCGCTTCACGACATGGTGCTTAGGGATCTCTTCGAGGCGTAGAATCTCCATCAATTGTGTGATCATCAAGAGAGAAAAAAGAGTCTTAGTCTTCAGTACCACAATTTTTCTCATTTTATTTTCTGATTTATCCGAGAAAATCAATCTTCTTCGTGTACAGTGGACCCAATGTTTCTTTTTCTTTCTTCAGGACATGCCACTTGCACCATCGGTGCACGATGCCAGGGTAAGTCTTGCTGATCGCCACTTCCATAGCTCTGCATTGGTCTGCAAATGAAAGAAAATTTTACTTTGTCAGATGTGATAGTTGCTCGATGAACACTCATACTTTTCCACAAGTACTGGTGCTCTACATAGTTAGACGTTCAACATAACTGAACCGGGTTTCTGAAAGTGAATCAGACTGAAATTCTTGTATCTGCCAACGCAATTCACCAGCTAAACAAAAATTCATCAACAACCCTTGATCTTAAAATGCAAGGTACGTGATACACACAAGAATCCACAACAGAATGCAGCTATAATTACCAAAAAAAACTGCATTTTTTCCTCCTACCTTTTGGTCCACCCAGGGGCCTCTAGATTTACTCTGTCAGTGTGCTGAGCTGACCTCGTCGGTGAAGCAGCATGTCGCCGACGGGCACCTTCTCATGGTACATCCGCCCCATCCTCGCCATCCTTTTGAGCCATGCTAGATCCACCATCAGAATCACCTGCTTCTGCATTCACTGCCCTGTTTCCTATCAGGTAATGCAGCAAAACCGGATCCGGCTGTTCAAGGCTGTCAGCGAATTCCTCTCTTATTGGGAACCTGAGAAAATCGGCAACCATCACCGGAAGAAAAGGATAGATCGTCAGGGGGGCACTTCTATCAGCTGATGGAGCTTATGGGCAACAAATCCATAAAGCAATAAGGCATAGATCTGCTGGGAACTAACCTGTCAACCACGTCAAGCAAAAACTCCATGACCGCAGTGTCCATCCCACCAGTTGCCGGCGATGAAGCACGAGTGGGCGGCGCCGGCGAGGGTTTCCAGAACAAACGAGGTGATGGGAGAGGGTGGAATACTTTTTTTCTTTTGGACACATGCGTGCGGGGGTGGGGTGTTGCCGATTTTTTGTCCAAAAGGACCCCTGGCCAACAGAATTGCCAAAAAAAACCACTGTCAAAAATATTGTCAAAAAAGACCCCCTCGCTAGTGGCGGCAGGCGCGGCAGGCGACACGTGGCGCCTACCGCCACGCCAGGAGGCGGCCGCGCGGGATATAACCGTTTGTGCACAGTGCGCCGAGCCGGGACGGAACGGCCAGGCCTGGTGGGCCATGCCGCCACCCAGCGAGGCGGCCTCTGTTGCCGCTGTTGGGCGCGGGCCGACAACCTGTGATGCTCGCGGGCCCCGCCTGTGGGCCAGGCCGCCACTGCAGCAGGCGGCGACCCTGTTGCTGCACACGCGACAACGACGCAAACGGCGTTGATTCCGGTGGGCGCAGATTTTCACAGGCGCTGCTTTTCCCCAGTTCCTTGTTTGCTTTCTGCCACAAGTTTCGATGATTCAGAATCGGATTCCCGCCTAAACTTTGTAGTACTGATTGCTACGTAGACGATACTGATTAAAGCAGTGCGTGATTCTCGCTTCCGTCTATTTCTCCAGCCGAAGCGACAGCACTCAGGCGTGCTGTTTTCAACGCGTGTTTTCCTGCCGCACACTCGAGAGCGTTGTTGTTGCTGCGTGTGATGAGACACCGCGATGCTGGAATCCGATGCCGCGGTAGGTGAGTTCTGGCTAGTTCTGTCGACAATACAGTGTTCCTCTTCTTTTTAAACGCACATCCACGGCTCCGTGTGCATACACTCTCTCTCGCATATCTCTGGTTGCCTTCTCTACCTCTTTGCTCTCTCTAAGCGCATACACATACAGAAAGAAAAACTTGGTAGCCACTTCTACTCGTGATTTTGGTCGATTTGGAGTTGGATTTTGAAGATGATGAAGTTGAAGAAAAGATAGATTAAGGTAAGATCTATCCATTTTTGTTGGTTTCGTTCACATGCATGATGTTTTTGTTCTGTTTGATTAGTTCCTAAGTGTGTATTCTCTATTGTTTTAGGCATAATTTTAGCACTTGAAGGAGTCATTTAGAGCTTGAGGAGTAGGATTTGCGTTGCGAAAGTGAACTACGAAGTTGAAGATCAAGGTATGAGCTTTGCAATACGTGTAATTTTTTGTGCATGCACGATGGTAATTAGTTAGTCTTTTAGCCCGTCATTAGCTATGCGATGTTAGTGCGTAGATGTTAGAAATAATTTCAGACGACAAATACAACATTTATAATATTTTTTTAGAAGAGTAGATTGAACATGTTATATCTATGTTAGGTGC